GGCGGCCGTCGGGCTCGGGGGCTGCAGCACGTCACTTGCTTTTAGCAGCAGCCACAGCTCAGGGAGAGGTGGAAGCGGCAGTTTGCAACACCCCGGCTTGTCTCAGCGCGTTGGCCGGGCACGATGCTCTGCAGACATCCCACCATGAGGTCCCTGGGTACCAGGGGCTCAGCAGACACACGGACACCCTCCAGCTGGGGACACGGACAAGCGCTGGGACAGACAGCAAAGCCCAAGACACCATGAGCGGCACAAACGTGTCCTTTGTGCAGACCATCCCTAGGGCACGGCGCAGAGGGGACGCCGGCAGCTCTCCCTCCGTCTCGGTGCCTCGCTGACAAATGAACCTTGCTGCGGATTTCAGGCTGGTATTCCCAGATAACAATTAGATAGGCCATAAGAAATGAGAGTTGACAGAGCTATTTGTTAGCCGCAATGTTTTCATAGCCAATCTGCCCATATCAAAGCCCTGTGAATTATTTATTCTGTTGTTTATTTAAGGATACGTGACCCACCAGCGACAGTTTAGTTTTTCACTCAACTGTCCCTCGGTCCTGTGCTGACAACCCCACCGTGCCTCCTGCCCCCGGCATTGACGCCGTGCCCGGCTCCATGCCCTGGCACACCTCGAAGCGCGCTGCCAGCTCTGTTCGCACCAAGCTCCCATATTCCCCATGCGAGACACATTGGAGCCAGAGATGCAGCAGATGGGAGGCTCAGCTCTCCCTGCTCCCAGCACGTACGATCCTGAGAGGCTCCTGCTGCAAATCCCATGGGGAAGAAGGATGCTTAATGCCTCGGAGAGCGTATGGGAATGTTTGGGTTTGGGTCCTGGACGAGGTGTTCACTGCATCCAGGCTTCCAAGCCCTGCTGCAAGGAGAGCATCAGCCCTTTGTGCTGGCAGAGCCCTGGGCAGCGGCTGCGTGGGGCTGGAGGGGGACAAGCACAGCATCGCAGCCTGTGACACGGGTGCCATGAGGTGGCTGGCAGCAGATGACTCCCCAAGACACAGCTGGTGTGCTCCCGGTCAACCCTTAGTGTGGGGACCCACAGATACCCCCAGCCTTGCACAGCACATCTCTCGCACAAATAGAACAGGGGTGACAGAGGGACCCCTACCCACCGCTGCGCTGGGGCAGGACCACAGACCGCACTGGTCTGCGACACTGGCTGACAAAAGCCACCTCCAGCACGGGCAGCGAGGGGGGGGTCTGGCCGTGTAGCTGCCCATCACAGTGCAGACAGGTAGATGAAAGAGTGGAGTAGGCAGAGAACCTGCCCACGGAGAGACATCACCTACAGAGCTACCGCCGCGACACAGCAATGGGTACGGAGGTTGTAGAGATGCCAAGGGATATTAAATAGCTCTGGCTGGAAAGAGAGCAATCCCTTTGTGGGATTACAAAGACAATCATGGCTTTCCATGGAAATGCTGTTTGGTTTCCATCCCACTGACACTGGAATCCAGAAACGTTGCTGGTCCGTGAGGAACGTTTGTATTTCTGCAGGGTTTTCTTCAGATTTAGCCCAAATGGGATTTCCCTTCTCAAAGGTCCCCAGCAGCATTGGCTCCAACCATTTCTTCCTCCTGCAAGGCTCTGGTTTTGGAAAGCCAAATGCTGAAGAGGCACCCACAACACCTTCCCAGGGTTTCCTGACCCCCAGCCTTTCTTCCCAGGGGATACCAGTGGCTCTGTCCCTGTGTCAGCCTCAGCTCCAGCCTGGCCCCTGGGAAGAGCCCACAGGCAGACACCAAACACCCTTCCGTCAGCCACACCAGAGTCTTCCCAGGATCAGCTCCAGGGTGAGCTGACTTTAGGATCCTTCTCCAGTTGTTCAAGCTGATTTCCATGTGCCCCAGCCGCCACCTCACCCAGCAGTGGCATGAGCGTGTCTCCAGCATTATTTCCCCTGCCAGTCACCCAGCACCGTTTCCCATGGGATAAGACAAACAGCCCTGGGGAGGGATGGGAGCGCCAGGAGCAGAGGGAGGCAGAATATGTTCTGTCTCAGCTACGTGGCTGCAGCATTTCTCGTGTGGGAATAAATTGATGAAGGAGGAATCTCCCCTGCCCACGGACAGGAGATGATGCTGTCCCCTCACCGAGAGCCAGGCTTGTGCCCCAGCTGGAGCACAGGTACCCAGAGCACAGCTCCGTCCTCAGGGTGGCTTTGGGCACAGCGAGGAGCAGAGTGGCCCCGAGCCCATGGGGTGCAGCCCTTCCCACGCTGCCCTTGCTCCTGGGGATGGTGGGCCAAGCCACGGGGCAGGAAGACGCCAAGACATCCCTTTGCCAAGGGACAGTGCTGCCAGCATTGCCTGCGCCCATGGAGGACAACACAGCTACAGCCCACTGGCGAGTCAGGGCTTTGGGCTTCCCAACATCACGTTGGTCCCCAGCAGGACCAGCTCCCCGACCCCTCAGGCAGCCACATTACCTTGTGTTTCCAGATTTTCACAGAGCTCCGATTTGGCCTCTCCATTGGGGCGGAAACCTCCCTTCTGAGAGAACTTGTTGGACATGGTGGCCGCAGTCACCACCGCCTTGAGGCTCCGCTTACGCTTGGGGACGTTCTGCTCCGGGTGGAAGAGGATGATGTACACCTTGGGCATGTAGAGCATGCCCAGGGACACCGAGGCACTCAGACTCACCGAGATGGTGAGCGTCGTTCTGCAAGACACAAGGGCATGAGCTGAGACCCACCACAGCTCTGTAGGATCCAGAAAGGGTCAGCTGGGAAAGCAGGAGAGGGAACAGGGGAAGGTGGAAATGTTGGGGTTAAATACACGAAGGGGTCGGGAGCCAGGGCTGGAAACGTTGGCAGTATTGGATCGCACTCGACTTGTTGCATGGGCCAAGAGGCTACTGGCTCACTGTTGCTCTTTCCCCACCTGCAAACACGGGGAGGTTGTGCCAGTGCCCTGACCCACGTTCTGGGGCCCTGGCACAGCCTCCCTGCACCAAGCCCTCCCAGCACCATGTGTGCTCTGGCAGCAACCTGCCAGCACCCCAACTCAGAACCGTCACCAGAGATGAACCCCCATACCCTCTTCACCCTCCCTCTCTCCTCCCCAACATCCACAGCACAATCCACCAGCCACAGGGCAGGAGCTCTGGTGCCAGGGTGATGGGCACAGCAGGACACCCACTCCCAGGGCCCAGCCCAGGGCACCCCTCGCTCTCCCCATCTCCCTTCCACAGGTAATTCCCATTCCCCAGCTGGCTCCCTGGGCCGTTGTCATGTAAGTCACATATTACACACGGACGTTGCCTTTCTGCAGTCAAAACTAATTTCACGCTCACTGTCCAGGACTAACAGTGACAGATGTTTTGCAAAATGAAAGCCCATTAATCTGACTGTAGAATAATCCATTTTTCTATGGAAAGCATTTGGCAGGCTCCTCGCAAGCCAGGGGCATCTGAAGCAGGCGGCAACGGGAGGTGAAGAGAACCCCTCCTTCCACCCATCCCCACCTCTCGCCGCCAAGCAACACAGGAGGCCGAGTGGGCAAGGCGCTCCACGAGCATCCCTGCTCCATCAGCATCCCTGCCCCTGGCACGGGGCTCCATCTTCTCCAGCATCCCATCCTCTACTGCAAGGCTCACTTGTTGGGTGTCGCTGGGCTGAGCAGGGAGAGGGCTCTGGGGCTCTGGGTGCCTTTGCACGCACTTTTTTTTCTGTTCCAGCTGCGCTCAGACGCCGGGGCTGTTTCGCAGGTTGCTAACAAGGTTTGAGAAGGAGAGTTAGGGCAGTTTCTGAACTTCATCCCATGGCTCAGTCACAATGTGGGGTCCGGCATTTCTTCTGCGGTTGTTTCACACGTGGGATTTAGTGCCATGAGGGGTGGCAGGACCTGGAGGAGCCGGGGGAATCCTGGGGGCTGCAGCACCAGCGAGGGCAGGAGGTCCCCACCTCCCCAGCTGTACACACCTAATTTGGGGGTGCGCTTTCTGGAGTCAATGGTGCAAAAAGGTGATCAAGGGCAGAAGGTGAGCACAGGCTCTACATGGCTCCCATGGGAGAAGGTGCACAGAGATAGCTCCAGCTCATGAGTGAGAGCTGTGGGAGGCAACAGCTCCCGGCTGGGGCTGTCATCCCACCCCAGGACCTGCAGGTCCAAGGTGTGACCATGCCAAGAAACATCCCACTCCATTCTCCTGCTTCAGAAACAAACACACACCCCCAAAAGTGTTTCAACTCAACTCAAAAGAAAAAAAGCAACAGAGCTTGCTCTGAGCCAACCGAAAACTTTCGTTCGTCCCCAGAATAAAACCTCTTGCTGTCACATGCGCCAGTTTGTTTGTTCCACCTTCTCTCTACATGCACACGGAGTCAATCCAGGCGGTTGATGGAAGTAAAAATGTCATTTCATCAAGGAAAGTCAAAACATATCTCTGTGCCAGAATATCTGCTCTCTTTTTATTTTTTTCTTTGTTTTTTTTTTCCCCTCTGCTGAAACTCTCCAGATATCACTGCAAGCGTCCTGGACCGCAAGGACCAGACTTGCTGGGAACAAGGGCAGCACTAGGACACCAACTCCAGGCACCCCAACCCCTGTCCCAGGGACCGACACAACTCTGCTTGACACCAGCGTGACACCCTGTGGGACACAGCTGAGGCTCCTCAGCCCTTCACCTCGCCGGCCCCCCGCCCTCCTGGTCCTCAGCAGATGCTTTTTGGAGGAGCCTCACTTTGCAATCCGGCAATTTCCATATTTCCTGCCTCTGCAGCGACTCCCACCCATGCCTCGGGACTTGGAGGCGTTTCGGCAAAGAGGGAGAGAGCAGCTGAGCTTGAGCTCAGAGCAGACATCTCCATGCACGCTCCCCCCATGGGGTCAGGGCTCCATCTCCCAGTGCTGCCGGGGACTCCCTTCCACCAAGACCCCCCAGTTGCACCAGCTCTGGGCTCCCCCCATCTCTTAGCCCTCCTCAAACCCCTGCAGCACTTTTGGGCTCTCACTGCAGCCACCTTCACCCTAACGATGCATTTGCCAGAAACAGCCCCATTTTCTGCAGCCCGGGCTAACCTCCGCAGCTTTGCATCACGCCGCAGCAAACCCCTTTCCAGCTCAGCGAGAAATATTTTTAGCCTGGAGCCTAAAGTCAGCCACAGAGCTCTGCCCAGTTAACCTTTCACCACGTCGAAAAATGATCATTTCTCACCATTTTGGCTCCTACTCTCTTAATTGGTTTCCAACCCAGGACTCCAGTTTGCCCCTCCGCTACCGACGCTTGAGCTGCCTCCAGAGCCCTTTGAGGTGTGCGCTGCCGGTAGAAAAGAAGTTACAGCTCCTGGCTCAGCAGCATCTGCTGCTTCGTGGACAGGATCAAAGAACACAGCCTGTCACTGACTCGGGATGGTGACGCTGCGTCGAGGGACCGCAGCAACCCTAAATGACCCAGCACGAGTCCCCAAGCTCAGTGCTGTGCCCAGACTTGGCCCAGGGCTGGATGAGCCCGTCCTGCCCTGGGAGGAGCAGCCCAAGCTCAAGGCACAACCCTGTACACCTTGTGTTTGTCCCAAAGCAAATCTCTGCCATTAATTGGCAAAACCCACCCCCCAAAATCCAGGTCTGACCCAGCTATGAGAGATTTTGCACCGCCACGGGTGCTGGGGAAGGGAAAACCTGATCAACCCTCATCCCGCGCCGCTAAACAAACCACTGGACAGTCCTTCTCATTCCTTCCTCTCTCCTTTTCCCTCGCTGAAAGCAAACGTGATAAACAGAGAACCAGACAATGACACCGCTGTTCAGCTGCCGCCTTATCAGCGCAGGAAATTGTCTCTTTCTTTAGATCCTCTGTTATTGCTATTTCTGTAATCCGCTGGGATCGGCAGGGATAAGAGGTTCTTTTGAGAAAAGGCTTGGGGGACTTGTTATAATAAGATGCCACCTCCATGCAAAGTCGTAGGCACGAGGTAAAGGAAAATAAAATAAAAATGGAGATTTTGATCCAGCTCCTCCAGACCACGAGGCAGCCTTGGCCACAGGCTCGGCTGGGGTCGGGGCAGAGGTGCCAGGCAGTGTTTGGAGGTGTGGGTCTGCCCCATGGCATCCTTGGGACTGAAGCGAAACTCCAGCCATGTTCTATGGGAAGAACAACAGTCTGGGTGACGCTCCTGGCTTTTCTTTCCCAGGTGTGCTGAACCCCCACGGAGCCCAACGGGGCCTCAATCCTGGGTGCAACAGGGCGAAGGTGAAGGGGATCCCCCCCCCCCGCAGCAGCCTGGGGATGTCCCGCTGAGCATCCCGGGCAGCACCAGCACCACCGCGGGGTGCTGCCAATGCCAACACCCCCAGTTTTCATCCCGAGGACGTGCTCAGAGCCAGATCCTCTGCACAGGCTGCGTAACAACACCTTTTTGACCTTTTTCTCCCTGAGACTGCAAACCAGCAGCTAAAGCATTGAGGCAGCACCGAGCACCCAATTCCTCCAGCTGCCCCCCTGAGCACATCCATCGCCCTTCAATCCCAGCCCAGTCTCAGAGCTCACATCCCACAGCAGCACGGCCGAGCCGCACCACCACGAAGCCCTCCTGGGGTTGCTCAGCAGACGCCGTGGCAGCAGAAGGCTTGAAGAAAGAGAGCTGCGTCCAAGGGGAGTTGGGAACATCACTTTTTCCGCCTCTAATCAGCTTGTTAGCAGCCTAATAACAGAGCAGCCCTGCACGTTACAAGCCCCCGAAGTGAGGCAGATCCTATTGTCGAGTTGCTGCTTGACAGCCAGCTTTCGGCAGCCCTAAATTATCCCATGACAAGCTGCAGCGAAGAGGTGAGCAACCTTGCGCATAATCTACAATCATTATCATTTCCATCTTTATTACCCACAGTATGCCGAGCACATTAAGGAGGTTTTAAGGGAGCTTTTGTTTTGCAATAATTTCTTAAAAAACCTGCTTTCTTGTTAGTATCTCCCCTGCCATCTCATCAAAATGGAAATGCTGAAAAAGGCTCCATTTATTTCCTTTAATTCTCCTTCACACTTGGGGCTGTCTTGGTAGAGACTTTTTGGTTGAGCCAAGGTTAAAGGTGCCTGCGCAGACCCAGCCTCCTCGAGCTCCGGGGTTTCCTGCTCCGAGCAGCTCTCCAGGACACGTGTGAAACTCCCATGTCCACAGCAAAAGATCTCCTGGTCTTTCCCAGCAAAGCATCCCCAGGCCTTTTGCAATAAGTGTTTCCAAAACCTGAGGCTTCAGCGGCTCAGCATCATGGGGGACACGCTCAGGGGAAATTATCCCAGTTGTGATGGGTCCAGAGAGGGAATCCGGGCAGTGGGTCACAAGGGGATTTCCAGGGAATAGCAACACGGAGGGTTATTTGTCGCAGGCAGCTCCGGGCTGGCAGGCATGAGCTGTTTGCATTGAACATAAATGCGATTCTTGTTTTGGCTGGCAGGCAAAGGGGATTTGGGTCTCATTCATGAGATTTTTCTTCTTTGTTCTCACTCCCTCTCGCTTGAGCACAGAGCTTCATCCGGAGCTGGCCTCGTTCCTGTGGGTACTGGCACCGGGACCACCCTCCACGCCAAGCCCGGGGGGCCGAGGAGCAGGTGAAGGACAGACAGACAGGTTGTTTTACAGCACAAATTCACCCCTGGGATTGTCTGGCCTGGCCTCGTCTACACTGTGTGCAAAGCGGCGTTTGGGGTGGCAGGGGATGCTCGCTTCCCAAACCCCGCAGTGAGACAGAGCCGCTCCGCTCCCCAGCAGCTCTGTGCCACCCTGCCCGCCGCAGCCCAGCCGAGCCGTGTACCGTCGGTGCCGTGTTGCCAAACACACAGGTGTTAATTCAAATCACAGCAAAACGGTAATTGAGTGAGAAGCCGCAGGCTGCCAGGCACCCCAGCAAGGGAGGGGACATGCCGGGGGGTTGCTCTGCTCCCTCTCCTTTGCCCTTGCCCTCCGCTGCTTCCAGCTCTCGAGGATTTCGGAGGGCAGCTCCACCTCTCCAGGCACCATCACTGACTCAGCACCAGGAAAAGGTGCCAGCTGGGCAGCACTCAGTCCCTTTTCTTTGCAGAAACTACTGCATTCAGCTCTGGGGCCCCCAGCATCAGAAGGACATGGAGCTGCTGGAGTGGGTCCAGAGGAGGCCACGAAGATGATCTGAGGGCTGGAGCACCTCTGCTATGGAGACAGGCTGAGAGAGTTGGGGCTGTTCAGCCTGGAGAAGAGAAGGCTCTGGGGAGACCTTCCAGCACCTTCCAGTACCTAAAGGGGCTACAGGAAAGCTGGAGAGGGGCTTTGGACACGGGTGTGTAGTGACAGGACACGGGGCAATGGCTTTAAACTGAAAGAGGGGAGATTTAGATTGGATATAAGGAAGAAATTCTTCCCTCTGAGGGTGGTGAGGCATTGGACCAGGTTGCCCAGAGGGTCCCTTCCACTCCAAACCATTCTATGATTCTCTGAAATGGTGCTCCTGACAGCAGGGACCTGGATCTGCCCTGGGGACTCATCCTCCCCCAACCCGCAGAGCAGCAGCCTGTGCTGCCCACTGCTCCCCCAGCCAGAGAGGGACAGCAAGGCCAATGGGGCACAGAAAACCGAAGGAGGAAATGAAACACAAAGATCTCTGCTCCCCAGTACCAAACCATTCTATGATTCTCTGAAATGGTGCTCCTGACAGCAGGGACCTGGATCTGCCCTGGGGACTCATCCTCCCCCAACCCGCAGAGCAGCAGCCTGTGCTGCCCACTGCTCCCCCAGCCAGAGAGGGACAGCAAGGCCAATGGGGCACAGAAAACCGAAGGAGGAAATGAAACACAAAGATCTCTGCTCCCCAGTAGAGCAAACTAACTCTTGCCACCATGATTCCCAAGCTGGCAGGACCGCAGAGAAGCACCCCTCCTTGCTTAGGACGTCAGCCTCCCTCAGGCCCCTTCCTTGCTGCCCACAGGGCCACCAGCCAGACCTGTCCCCTCCTCCCTTACCTTTTCCGCCGACTGCGATGTCCCAAAAAATATAGGGATGAAGGCTAACCACACAATGCAAGTAGTGTACATGGTGAACCCAATGGGTTTGGCTTCGTTAAAGGTCTCCGGGACCCCGCGGGTCTTAATAGCGTACACAGTGCAGGTGACCATGAGAAGCATGCTGTACCCAAGCAAACAGATGAGAGAGAGGTCCGAAATGTCACATTTGAGGATGCCCCGGGCAAAGTGGGGATTTGTAGTCCGCTGGTCCTCGTAGTCAATGACAGAGTGGGACGGGTCCACGATGAACCAGATGCAGACACCCACGAGCTGCAGCGAGATGAGGCTGAAGGTGATGACCAGCTGGGAAGCAGGGCTGATGAACCGGGGGGCACTCACTGACTTCTTGCCCTGCTCGAAGATGCGGTAGATGCGGTTGGTCTTGGTGAGCAGAGCAGCGTAGCTGATGCTCATGCCGAGCCCAAGGAAGATGCGTCGCAAGGAGCATGTGCTCAAGTCGGGCTCGGCAATCATGAGGAAGGTGGTGGCATAGCAGAGGAAGATGCCCGTCAGCAGGACGTAGCTCAGCTCCCGCCCCGACGCCTTGACGATGGGCGTATCGTTGTAGCGCACAAAGGTGACCACCACAAAGAGGGTGGCAATGATGCCCACGATGGCGATGAAGACGGGGACCACGGCCCAGGGCGAACTCCACTCCAGCTTGATGATAGGGATGGGGGTGCAGCTGGTGTGGTTCTCGTTGGGCCGCTCATTGAAGTGGCACCGTTTGCAGTGGAACTCGTCCAGCTGGTACTGGTAGCCATCGCAGCGCTCGCAGTGCCAGCAGCAGGGAATGCCCTTCACCAACTTCTTCCTCTCACCCGGCTTGCAGGGTAGGCTGCAGATGGAGCTGGGGAGCTGGCTTCCACCCCCCGGCCACAGCATGTTCTCCACCTGTGGGGCGAGACCACAACAGCCCCACTGACACTCCAGCTGGGCATCTGCCAAGCATCCCTGCGGTGTGAGGGGCTGGTCGCCCTCTGCTCGTGGCAACATTGCCCAGATCTGGCCCCTTGCCCCATCAGTACATCCCGTGAAGGACCCCAGCCCTACCAGACATGGGGACAAGGAGGTGGTGAAGGTCTCCATCGGTCTTTTGGGAAGAATCAACACCGAAAACCAAAAACAAAGTCCCTCCTTCCCTGGGAATCATAGAATCATAGAATCGTTAGGGCTGGAAGGGACCTTCAAAGGCCATCTAGTCCAACCCCCCTGCAAGGAATAGGGATATCTCCAACTAGATCAGGTTGCTCAGGGCCTCATCCAACCGGGCCTTGAACGTCTCCAGGGATGGAGCATCCACCACCTCTCTGGGCAACCTGTTCCAGTGTTCTACAACTCTCATGGTAAAAAATTTTTTCCTAATAAAATCCCCTCTGCTCTGTTCTGGCTTCTCCTTCCCTTACCAGAGCTGCAAAGTCGGATGCCCAGAGCCTGTGGGATACAGTCACACGTGCTGACGGTGGGTCACCGTGGCTGAACCACAAGAGTGTACCTGGGGGACACCCTCCCCTCTGAACCCCCCAAGTTTGCTGCCTAACTTTGCACCCATGGGCTCCCTGGCTCCCAGATGGGTTTGCTACACCCTACATGGCCTCGATGGATGCAGGAGAAACCTACAGGACCTTTCCCTTGACCCAGACCGTGCACGGCCACGCCACAGCCCCCAGCCTTACTTTTAGGTAGAGGTGGTCGGTCCATTGCCCGATGACTTTGTACTCGGGAGTGGAGTTCCTGATCTGGTACTGGTAGATGTCGTAGCGTCCTGGTGCGTCTCCATTCTCGTTGAAGGTCACAGGAGTCCCAGCAATGCCTGCAAGACAGGGAGGGCTCAGCACCCGCAGCACCCAGTGGCACGGGGTGCCCAGGGGGACGATGTCGAAGGGAGCTCTGGTTTGATGCTTCCCCTTTCTCACTGCTGGGAGTGCCATGAGCTGCCAGGACGATTCCAGCACGGGCACAGGGTAGAGGAAGCGATCGGGGAAAAGAAAACCAACCCCAAACCCAAGTTGGTGCAGGGACTTTAAGGTATCAACCCACCAACCCCCTCCATCGCTCTCCGGGCAATGCCAGGCACCGAGCGCTGTTACGCCAGCCGGTTTAGTGCTTCTTTTAAGAAAGAGGGGAAAAGCAGCTTTAAAGTTAAATCAAGTGAACTGTGCAGATAAACACTAATGAAAGGAAGGAAGAGAAACATCAAGCAAGGGGAGAAAATAAATAAAAGAGACACGGCAGAGGAGATCACAGAGTGGAGATAAATAGAAGTAATAAGGAGGACAAGACAGAAAATGTTTATTAAGAAGATAGAGCAGAGGAAAAGATGTGTTTCCAGAGGAGATCTGAAGACAAGGACACAGCTGTGTGATTGAGCGGGACCTCTGCCAGCCGCGATGCCAGGAGGTGGCACAGGGCAGCAGGCAAGGGGAGAGGCTGGGGAGCACAAGTCAGGCAGGGTGGCAGGGTGTGGGCAGGATTGCTGCTGGGTTACCCTCCAAAGGCTGCCAGGAGATGTGGAAGCTCAGACCTCCTTGTCTGTTGATCTGTAAACAAAACCACCCCGTCTTTGCCCCTCGCATTCGCAGCGCCGCGGGTGCTGCGTGGAATCGCGCCCTGTTTCAGCTACCCCGGCTGAACGGCGACACGAATAAATCGTGGGTGCTGCTGTGTCGCCCAGAGCCGGGGACAACCCGGGACACACAGCCCAGCCACCCCGGGGACGGACAGACCTGAGAAGTTGACGTTGCGGATGTACTTGAGCAGCTCCACGCCGTCCACAGGGTCCATCCGGGGGCACAGCCCCACCTTGCCAGGGCAGAGGTTCTTGTGCATGTTGTGCAGAGCGTGTCCCATGGCATAGACGGCGTCGATGACGAACTGGACCTTGCCCTCCTGCTCGTACGAGGAGTCCTGGCCGATCCGCTCCCGGTCTGCGGACACACGTAAAGTGGGGCTGCCATCTCTGTGCCATCCCTGCCATGTCCCACAGGGATATTTCTGCTGCAGCCGAACCCTCGCAAACAAACCCGCTCATCCCCAGGACTGAAGCAGCCAGAAACTCACACC